AGGCCACGGCTCGCACTGTAATCAAAAGTTATCGTGAATCTTTAGTAAACTCAAAATTACACTCTAACAAAACCGAATCAAAAAATTTGTTTAGTTCACCTCAAAATTAATCCGTGTACCAAGTCAAAAAGCCTAGGTGTTTCCTCTTAAACTAAGCATATCTGTTTTTCTTTGTTCTTCTCCTTTTTTCTTCTCTTTCCCTTTCTCTTTTTCCTTGACTTTGTCTGGTTTCTGGGCAACCAGGACTGACAGATTCGACTAACGTACATCAGACAGTGACTAATGGGCAAAGGTCCTACGGACCGCCCAGACAAATAAATGACGAATAGTAACACCTTTGTTCAGTATAATAATTGAATTACGTTGGTTCATCTTCTCTTGTCTTACGCTCTGTCCTGTAGAGTGAACAATTTGTTGGGTATGGGCAGATAGCTTGGCGGAAAATTTGATGTCTTCACATGTCAATAAGTGGAAATTCGATTTGTTCTATTCTGATACTACTGAGTGTTATACTAAATTTGACTTATTTATTCCTTGATAAAACCTACTTATTTCGACTATCTTTTATCTTCGTCATTACATATTGATTACCTTTATTAGTTTTTGTTTACCTTCTCTTTCCTTTAAATTCTATTTTCTTGCTTTTGTTGATTCATGATCCTGCATGTGTCATAGCTCATTAACTGATCTTAATCTTATTAACTCATTTTGACTTTTTATACTGATTTTGACCTTTCATACCAATATTGACCTTTAGTGTTGTTTCGTTTACTTAGGGTCATTGATAGCTCAGCGTTACTTATTATCGTCGGTTATCTACTCTGTAGATACCCTCCTACTCCAAGGAGAAGGGGGTGTTCACGTGTCAAAATCATGTAACCTTTTTTTCACTATTATGATCACTTACTAGTAATTTGAACTTCTCTTTATTAATGGTAGAGTGCCCATTCCTATGCCAAACCCTTTTCAATGATTTTCTTTTGGTAAATTTCATAGTTTCTTGATGGTATGTTTTCACACGTATTATATCTTTCTTTCTCAGAGCGCCATTCTTTTAACCTCCAGATTCTGGGATACTAGGTGCCGAAAATCAGTTTGTGGAGTAGTACCCCTTCACACAGTGCCTTACGTTAAGTTGTTTTGGTTTGGGTGCTACCCCGTCCATTTTCACATGGGATTTTAATTTTCATCAGTAAGTATTTTTTTCTTATACCATAGGACCACGTGCATTTATGCATGTTCTAAAGAAGTTTGTTCAATATCTGCTTCCTTTTAGTGGGAAGGCATGGCGGAGGAATACCACACACTCCTCCAGCTGTGCTTGTAGCTGTTTTGCAGCTGGTATTGCCGGAAGCCACCCCTTCCCCTTAGCCAAAAAAACCCTGTTGTGAACAGGTAAAATATCATTTTAACTAATTATTTTATAGATATTATTCATATATTGATTATTGCTGACTGAAATTCTTAGAGTGTACTTAATTTTGTTTGGCATTTTGCATATTTGAATATTGATCACTGCCTACGTGGCACTTTCTATTGGGCATTACATTACGTTGACCATGATTTTAATTTTTGAGCTGCCATAACTTTATTTTATAACAAGTGATACATTTCTGAGGGTATTTCACTTAAGTACATTTTTATATTTTTTTACCTTTGCTATACTTTTCTTGCAGTTTGAGTGTTTTCAATGAGTAGTTTTGTCTCAGACAGAGAGTAGAATAGATTTTTAAGCAGTATTTCTTTCTCTAGGTGGCCATACCGTAAATTTTGAAGAACGAGGCATGCAAACTTGTGATGTGCCGACTACAGGCCACCGTTTTTTTTTCTTCTTGACCTAAGCACTTCGCTGGTATAATTCCAAAAGGACGAACAAACCGAAAACCATATTTTGAGAAATGACAGGTTTTTAGTTTCATACACAAAATGAATTAAAAAATATTGTTTAAAGGTTATGGAATATGAGGATTACTAATGGGCCATAATGCTATGTTGTTATAAAATTATAAATTGAGAATTTGCAAAATATTTAGTATTTTGTGGTTGTTCGTCATTTTGGCTTATCACAAAAATATTTTGTATTGTTCGTCCGGATGTTCGTCCTTTTATCTTATCTAAGGGATATTAGCTTTTTTGCTTCATTTATTTTATAAATGATAATTTTACAAAGGATATTGACTACCAAATGAAAATCCGTTTTTCAGTATGAAACAATATTTATATTTGTATTTATCAAACAGTAAGCAAGTATAATGAAGAACTTAAGTTGGTGTTCCTCTGAAGATGGATCCTCTCGGTCCGATTCGGCTAAAGTATTTGGTATACTTGCTCTAAACGGAAGTGGGAGCAGAGTTAACGTAATGTATTGTACTTTTCTTGGAACATTGGGGATCGTGAAGGTTGGTTCTTGTGCTTCTTGATTTTTTGGTTTCTGCATTGATGCAAACTTTTATTTCTGCATTATAACTTTCCATATTTTCGAATAAAAATGGAGTTTGTTTGTTCAAATCATCAGATACGGGTTCCTCTAGACTGCACCGAGTGGTTATCTATTATTTATGGATATAAGATAAAATTACCAATCCTACACATACACACTAAAGAATAATTATGTAAACAAACTTCTGAGTATTTTTCCTCAGTTAATTTCAATTTAAAAGGCTCAAATAAACATAGGCCAACAACTGCTTTGTTTTTGAGATACAGGGTGTCAAGCTAATAACATCAATCGGATCTAAAACATCCTGCATATCAGTAAAATCGGTTTCGTTTAATTATTATAAAATCTAAGCAGTTGCGGGACTAAGGTTTTATGAACTTTCAGACTTTAAATTAACTGAGGAACAAAGCCTCGAAGTTTCTCTCCATACTTTATTCAGACCCCTACAGTCTTGTTTTTAAACATTATCATGCTAAAACTAATGTCAAATCAATAATATTTTATCATCGTCATTTATATATAAGTCCACTAAAATATATAATAATAATTATTATTACTTAGATTGTTATGAAATACCTGATTGTCATTAATTAAGAAACTCTATTGGCAGAGTATCTATATCCATTACCACATTATTAACAACCGTCGTCGTCGTCGAGCTGCCGACAAAGGCATTATCCCCATTTTCTGCGAATCCCAGCTTCTTGGCCATTTCAACACATTTGTGTGTTCTTAAACAAAACTTAACAACTTAACACAGTCTCACAAATAACTACTCTCTAAGTAAGGTTTAGGCCGCACGTGGTAAACCACCAAATCGCAAAACCGCCCGAGACGGACACACTACGGTTAAAAACCGCGAAACTGGACACGGTTCTCGCAGTTTGAAGAATGTGTTGTTGCTCTAATACTAAGATAGGCAAACTAACCTGCCTAAGCCCGTCTATGATGCAGTGAACGTACAAAATATTGGTTATGCCCATAATGACATAATGCATCTCTGGTTCTTCATGACGGTGTTCCGAAGAATTACAGTACAGCGCGCGGTTGCCTCCTCAAATGTGTGCGCGCCAATACGAGGGGCAGGTTGTACATTTTGAGATGCGCAGTAACTCTAGCAACTAAAACCAGCAACAGTGCACTATTAGAAAGAGCAGTCCTTTATTAGTAAGTCTCCGCATTCAATTCATTTGCAAGCGTCTTGCAGTGCACGTGGTGTAAACAAGTTTAAGACGAAACATGGAGTTGTCTCGAGAGAGTTATCGCGCTATGATTTACCATGAGCTTAAAGTCGGTTTAACCCAGAGTTCCCCAAACTCTTTTGTGTCGTAGACCCCTTGCCATGTTTTTCCGTGTTGGGTAGACCCCCTACTTACCTGATATTGATTTCCTGTAAATTTCTAACTGTAGTGAAGTTTAGTGTTAAAAACTTAAAGATAAAACACATGTTAATTTATACATTTATTAATTGAATTTAAATTAAAACTACTCAAAATAAAATTTTGTATCTGTTATGTAAAATATACGTAACATTAAATAAACAGGTGTCTGACCAATAAGTGCCCGCGTTGGGAATAAGTGCCCGCATTGAAAAAAAAATAAGAGGGATAAAATAAAAAAAAAGTGAAAAATAATAAAAAAAAAGTTTTTTACTTAAATAGTACAATAAGCGAGTTCGTTTATTAATTATAACATAAACGTATGTTCTACAATAATTTCACTGTTAGTTTGATTAAATTCTGCTTCTTATACGTTTAGTTATCTAAAAATAGGCAAAAAATTAACGAATTTTAGTTTGTACATATCCTTGAATTTTCAGAATAATTTAAAAAAAATATTTTCTATAAAGGGGGGTTCTTTAAAAAAATCAATGCGGGCACTTATTCCCAATGCGGGCATTTATTGGTCAGACACCAATAAACATGAAATAAACTATAAATAAAATAACATAAGCAATAAGTCAATATTTTTAGTGAGAAGGATGAACTCGATGCTTTAATAATAAATTATCAACATTTGGCGTCAATTTTGTAAGGGTTAATCTTAAATCTCCTCGGCTAATGATGTCCAGTCTGTTTCTTTTTTTCATTAGGAGATTGGTAACAGCGCTGAACCCCCTTTCCACTGGGTATGAAGATGGAAAGGAAATTAAAAATTTCCTGGCTATATTCCATAATACGGTATAAGTAACGGGTATGTTGTTTTGCAGCCAGAATTGCTGATATCCGTTTTTAAACTGAACCTTAAGTTCTTCGTTTGTACTTAGTTCAGTCAGTTCCTCTTGTATTATGACATTCGTTTCTTCTATGTCACCATATGGATTAATTATCCACGATGGTATTACCATAGTCAAAATATCCTCAAACCTAGATTTAAAATCTGAATAGAGGGCATTTAAATGTTGAACGTAAGCTGAAACGTCGTCTTCCTGGCAGCTTGTCTGTGACAAATTGGGGAACTGAGAAAATTCGCCCCGTCCAATATTTTGCATCATTAGTTTAACTCTGGCAAGAAACGCTGATAAGATGGACTTTGTTTTAATCAAACTTAAACTGTCGCCTTATAATTGCAAATTAACCATATTAAATTTTGTAAACAAATCTGTTAAATAGGCGATGTCTGTTTTCCTCTTCATTAAATTTTCTTTTAAAATTTTATCTTTCGTATCCAGAGATTCTAAAATAGTCTCAAAAAGTGCAAAAAATCTTGTCAAACGACAGCCAGCGTACTTCAGTCTGAAGGAATAATTGATGAAAGTGTTCGTCATTTTCTTCACACAACTGCGCAAATAACGGCGTATTCAACGCGTTGCTTCGGATTCGGTTTACTGCATCAATGACTAAATGAAGTGATTCATGCAATCTAACACTCAAATTTTTAGCAACTAAATGTTGTCGATGGATGACGCAATGTTTTGCTAACACCCCTGATACATTTTGTGTTAAATTGCTTATAAATCCACGATAACGTCCAACCATGGCAGGTGCTCCATCTGTAGCTACTGATATTATATTTGATAAAGGAATTGCTTTTTCAATGAAGTAATTCTTCAAAACATGAAATATTGATTCACCTTTAGTGTCGGTTATCAAAGTTCTTGCGAAGAGCAGTTATTCGTAGATTTCTTGATTCATAGTAAAACAAACATATGCCAATAATAATGCTGCATTATCAGGTAAAGTTGACTCGTCCAGTTGTATAGAGAAATGGGTCGTTTACAAATAATTACCTAAGAAGCTTTCAATATCAGAACTCATTTCATCAATACGTCTTTCAACAGTATTGTTGCTTAAGGGGATTCTTTTAATGATATCAGATGCAGGTTTGTGTAAAACAGTTTTTAAAACCTCTTCAACGGCTGGCAAAATTAACTTCTCTCCGATAGTATGCGGTTTTCCGGATTTTGCTATGAGTATTGCAAGACGCCCGCAAACCGTCATCATTTCTTTGTGACGTCGAAGCGAACATTCTGTCCAGTGTAGGTCTCTTCTGAAATTTATCTTTGAGTGTTTGAAAGTATTTCAAATCTTTCTCTGTTTTATCAGGGTGGCATCTTCTCAGATGATCTTGCAGTTTAGATGGTTTCATAGCGTCATTGCCCAAAACTTTGTTGCATAAAAGGCACATGGCGATTGTTTGTCCGGCAATGATGGAATGAAGCCAAATTTCAAATAATCAACACTGTACTGTCTACATTTCTTTTTAGATTCGGACATGGCATCAATCAACTGTGGGCAAAATTAAATTATTTAAATAAGACAGAAAATCCAGCAGCTGTATATTAAAAATATTTTTTTGATTTTTCCGAAAACATTCCATAATTCGAACATCTTCTTGCAACAATTAGCTCGAATTACGGAGATTGCACTGTAAAACTTTCAAAAAGAAACTATTGAGGACTACTCGTGTAATTTTGCATGATTGAATATTTAACTACTAATAACTGAAGTCATGATTGGCGTAATTTATCTATCTATGCTAACTACGAGTACAAAACTAAAATTTGTGTGATAAATTATCTGTTTATATTTTTTAAAATATTTTCTCAGCACTTTCCTTTTCAAGATTCAGGAAACAAATAAACGTATTTGTCCCACATTCGTATTTATAGAGTGACGAATTGAACAAGTTCAAAATGTATTACGACCACAAAGCGAATACCAACATCCTACAACTTACACAATTTTATAAACATATATAATAAATTTTTTACTTCATAGGTACTTTTATAAATAATGTATATATTTTGATATTATAAGATAGTATGATGTAAGTAAATAGGTACTATCAGTGTATGTGTTGAGATCCACTATCGTGGACCTCCATTTTCATTTCATGGATCCCCAATTTTTTTTTCGCTGACGTAGGCCCCTTGCAGGTTGTCATAGACCCCTACGGGTCGATATAGACCACTTTGGGAATCAATGGTTTAACCGGACATCAATGAATCGAAAGGTTACAACAGACCTTTGGTGATGAAGCTCCGTCCCGAGCAAGTGTGTTTCGCTGATATGCCGAATTTAAAAGGGGGCGTGTTTCACTGGCTGATGAAGAGCGTAGTGGTAGGTCATGTTCTAGTGTGACTCGAGGACACATTGCTAAAGTTCAGTGGCTAATTGAAGAAGATTCTCGCTGCACATATGCGACTATAGAGGCAGCTCTTGGGGTACGATCCGCAACAATGCACGCCATTTTGCATGATCATCTTTAGTCAAAAAAAGTCGTTGCATCCCGACAATGTATCTAGCCACACTCTCCAAATAACTGTAGACTTTTTACGCCAGCGCCACATCAAAATGCTAAAACATCCGCTTTTTGGGCCAGATTTGACAATGTGTGACTTCTGACTTCAAGAATTTGGTTGAAAATTTTCGTCTGAAGAGGAAATCGATCACGCAATTCATCAGTTTGTTGATGTAATTCCAAAAACTGACTAGTTAGAAGCATTTCATTTGTGGAAGGTCAGGTTGCAGAAGTGCATTGATGCTGGAGGAGAATACTTTAAACATAAATAAACTAGTTCTCGAAATAGAATAGTTTTCAGTATTCGTGTATCTCAAAATATATAGCATGGCCATAGTATAAGTTCAATGAACTATAAATTTTGGCGCAGTTTTTCCCGCTAGCCATTCTGTGACAGGTCGTGGGAAAAAAACCGTCGGTGAGGCCACTTCCATTATTAGTTTACTCACAAAATCAGGCGGTTAAAATCCGCGGCGGTATAGCCGTAGTGCGGCCTAAGCCTGACACTGACGAAACAGTCAAATTGATGACGATTTTATCTGCTAAAGAAAACGAAATGAACATGGAGAAGATACGTTATTTGACCAAACGTAAACAATGAACTTAAAATTGCGCAGGAATTTGCTTTGGATGTTCTTTTTTGGCATATCAGCGAGTGTTTGTTCGCCCCGACAAAAATCACAATTATTATATTTTGTAGCATTAAGTGACTTTACAGCCATTCGCTGTATCATAGATTTTGACTTCCTCTATCACTTGGTATAAGGAAACTCAGCTTTGTAAAATTTGATCTGTTCGTCCTTGTGGAAATATACCACCGACTTGTGAGCTACATCTCGATAAATATAATTTAGGCGTGTAGCATGGTAAACGTCTCGCGGGTTTTTTTATAAGTGTCAAATAATTTTATTGTGCGATAGTTTTTTTTTTTTGGTAATAGCCTTTCTTTTGATTTGCACTCCAGTAGTGGAGCATTTGTTCTGTTTGCTGAGGGAATATATTGTGAATTTTTTAAAATCTTGTTTTATTTGGCTCTCCATGTACTATGAATTAGGTTATGTCATTGCTGTTAGATTATTCTCTTTCGTGTGAGTAGTCAAGCAAAACAAGTTCCGACTAACATCTCGGGGTTTGTGGCTTAATCTGGATTGAGTCACTGTCTTAACGCTCCCATACTCTCCGCTTTATTGAGCTAAGGCTTAAATTTGCACGCCACTGAACAGCTGTTTTGCATTGACTCAACTTTTGATTTTATTTATCGTATTTTATTAATTTATTAATTAATTTAAAAAAAGGAAAAGATGAATCACACCTCCTTGACCTCTTATTTATAGAAAAAGGCGTGGCAGTGCTATTCAGTGATTTTGATTCCAAAAGAAGCATTTAACAAAATTATTTAACTAGCAGTTTATTCAATATATTTGACAGATGGATATAGTTAGCTCATAAATGAAAATTATTTAAGAAAGATGTCACACTTCTGACCTGAAATATGAAAGGTATTAAAATATATCATTTGTTCAAGCAGCCAGCAAGAGAAGAGATATGAAGAAACAGCACATAAATATGGTAGCTTGAAAATAATTCAACAAAATGTTTCATTCCAAATAGCAGTTATCCACAATATATTTTATTTTTGTAGAATATATCATAAGAGTTAACAGTAAATAGCTGTTCATAGACTCTGAGAATATCCTTAAACCACTCTTTCAGACCTTCATCAACACTGACGAGTAGCTAATACTTTTGTAAGTGATCCATCACAATGTTAGATATTCTGGGCTGCGTTCAATTTTACGCTCAAGGCGCGTACCAGACGCACACCACCCGTTCACTTTTGAAGGATGGCTTCATACGGGTGTTCTTATCTTCGGCGTTCACATTTATCACCCAGACAACAACTTTGCACCCACTAAACACCCCACTAAATATATGGATGTAGTTTGCCTGAGCTGCGCACAAGACGTTTATTGCTAACCTTAATTCTGAATTTCGTTTTTGGTTACCCCTTTAAAACCGTGTATGTTTTGTGTTCGAAACTTTACATTCTCTTGATTTTGTTTTTGCCTTCATAACTTGGTAAGACATCTATATAGGCAAAGGTACTCCACAGTTGTCAATAATGAACGACATAATTAAAGATTTAGTATTTGTGCTAAAAAATGACCAACCTGTTGAAAGGGATGGGCTATTTTTAGTCCAAAGAAAAGGTGGTACAATACCTCGATTGTCATCGAGATTGTTGTAAAGTATATCTTTTTTATTTTTGTAGGTGGGAAGTTACTGTATGTGAACAAAGACTTAGTAATGGAGAGTGAAGAAAATCTAGCAGAAACCAGTAACGATGCCGGCAAAGAAAATATTCAGCAAACATGGACCAGGGAACAGATATTATCTCTAATCATTTTGTATAAGGAATATGAGGATCATTTCAAAAAAACAAGTATCAAGAATGATAAAGTGTGGCAACTTATATCCTCAAAAATTCCATCTCTTAGCATCGAACAAATCAAAAATAAATTTAAATATTTAAAACAAAAATATGTTGCCAGAAAAGTCAATAAGAGAGATAAATGTTCTGTTTGCAAACTATCCAGTTTGAATTCTATTATGAAATGGACAGTATTTTCGGAAAAAAAGATAATGTTGATCCAAAATTCATTGGATCTAGCATTAGGGGCTCACAAAATTGCCAGCATTTACAGAGCTCCATAATTAAGGGTGATTCCAGCAACCAACCTTCGACATCAACAATGTACTCAGAGCCACCAAAAATTGGGAAAAAATCTTCAAAGCGACAACTGAATGACAATATTCTATTAAAAGAAGAAGCAAAGAAACTTAGGCACCAGACAAAAGAGGAAAGCATGGCCAAGTTGTGTAGCGTTTTAGATAAGCTTAGTACTAGTTTAGAAGACTTCAGTAATGGTATAGAAAAATTCAGTGATAATTTAGAATTTCTTTCATCTACACCCAAAAATTATGGGCTGAAATCATGTCTTCATCAAATACAGCTGGTGTAGTTAAGATAGGGAATTATCAAGATTTTCCGCATTCATACATACAATTGAAGTTGCAGTTTTTTGTTTTGATTTCGGTGTATAATCAGTCGCACCATCGGTGATGGTACATGTACACTCAACATAACCACGTATTTGGGTGTTAGTGCAGATATAACGTGTACACGACAGTGTAATATGTAATTCTGCACAAAAAAATGGAGCGAGCAGTGTTTATACGGAAATTTGTTCTTCCAAAATTCCATTTTCCACAAATAACACAACAAGTGACCAAAAAAATAGAGTTACAGTGACGGTGGAGAAGGAGAATAGACCAAAGAAGATCGGAATTGACATTTGAAATTAGTGTCTCATAATGTTAGTGATGGGAGAATACATTTGCGATCAGTGGAATGCATTGGACCGGTTAAAAAATATTAATTGAATCGTTTTTACGTTATCTCGACTGAAAGACTGGAATATTTGCTCTGTTTCTGTATATATACTTTTTGTGGTATTGTTGCATAAAGTAGTTTGTTCACGAACTAGTTCCTAGAACTGAACGCAACTTATGAAACGAACTAGAAACCACATCACTATTTCAAGTAATCCAACAATTGACAAATTGTCATTTCATCACACTAGTGATGGGAGAATCGAAGACCTGATATTCGCTTTGCTTCTGTGGCTCAGAGATATAGTGTTTTCTTCCGATAAAACAAACGCAGTCTTTGTGTTTAAAATACTCTACCTTAGTTAATACCTTTGATCCTAAATTGGCTCCCAAAACAACATTAAACACCTCTCATTTCGTGTAGCGTGCAGTACTCTGTCAATGAAGCATATTTTTCGTTTCTTTGCCCTTTTCCGTGTTACTATGATGAA